GGGAGATGTCCGTTGGAGTATGGTGTCATAGGTTTAATCTCCAAATGCTCTGTTTCTGGAAGTGATTGTGCTCAAATTGTTTTATTGTGACACAACGTTCCGTGCAAGTGTGATTTGGTATGATTTGGTGCCCTCACGTCACATCGATGAAAAGACGAAGGCAGCACCGCCGTTTACTGTGCATTTGCACAATCCTTGTAGCTTGGAACATGTGGAACGAACATCATGCTAACTGGACTTGCGTCCTGCAAAATAGTGATTCAATGAAAAAAGTTCAGGCATTTGCCATCCCAAACTCCATGGACCGCATTGGAAGCAAAGCCTTCCAGGGTCGCAGTTCGTTGCAGAGCATAACAATTCCAAACTCTGTGACTTCCATTGGGACTTTGGCTTTTGATGGTTGCAGTTCTTTGAAGAATGTGACAATTCCAAACTCTGTGACATCCATTGGGAGTTCGGCTTTTCGGGGATGCAGTTCTTTGAAAAGCGTGACCATTCCAAACTCTGTGACTTCGATTGGGACCTCGGCTTTTGAGGGTTGCAGTTCATTGGAGAGCGTGACGATTCCAAACTCTGTCAAGGAAATTTGGGAGTCGGCTTTTCAGGGATGCAGTTCTTTGAAGAGCGTGACGATTCCGAACTCTGTCAAGCGTATTTGGGAGTCGACTTTTCGGGGATGCAGTTCTTTGAAGAGCGTGACGATTCCGAACTCTGTCGAGGAAATTTGGGCGTCGGCTTTTCAGGGATGCAGTTCTTTGAAGAGCGTGACCATTCCAAACTCTGTCAAGCGTATTGGGGAGTCGACTTTTAAATTCAGTTCTTTGAAGAGCGTGACGATTCCGAACTCTGTCGAGGAAATTTGGGCGTCGGCTTTTCAGGGATGCAGTTCTTTGAAGAGCGTGACCATTCCAAACTCTGTGACTTCGATTGGGGCTTGGGCTTTTCGGGGATGCAGTTCTTTGAAGAGCGTGACGATTCCGAACTCTGTCGAGGAAATTTGGGCGTCGGCTTTTCAGGGATGCAGTTCTTTGAAGAGCGTGACCATTCCAAACTCTGTGACTTCCATTGGGACTTTGGCTTTTGAGGGTTGCAGTTCTTTGAAGAATGTGACAATTCCAAACTCTGTGACATCCATTGGGAGTTCGGCTTTTCAGGGATGCAGTTCTTTGAAGAGCGTGACCATTCCAAACTCTGTGACTTCCATTGGGTCTTTGGCTTTTGAGGGTTGCAGTTCATTGGAGAGCGTGACGAGTCCAAACTCTGTGACATCCATTGGGACTTCGGCTTTTCGGGGATGCAGTTCTTTGAAGAGCGTGACGATTCCGAACTCTGTCAAGCGTATTGGGGAGTCGACTTTTCGGGGATGCAGTTCTTTGAAGAGCGTGACGATTCCGAACTCTGTCGAGGAAATTTGGGCGTCGGCTTTTCAGGGATGCAGTTCTTTGAAGAGCGTGACCATTCCAAACTCTGTGACTTTGATTGGGGCTTGGGCTTTTGAGGGTTGCAGTTCTTTGAAGAGCGTGACCATTCCAAACTCTGTGACTTTGATTGGGACCTCGGCTTTTGAGGGTTGCAGTTCATTGGAGAGCGTGACGATTCCAAACTCTGTCAAGAAAATTTGGGAGTCGGCTTTTCAGGGATGCAGTTCTTTGAAGAGCGTGACCATTCCAAACTCTGTGACTTTGATTGAGAACTGGACTTTTGAGGGTTGCAGTTCATTGGAGAGCGTGATGATTCCAAACTCTTTGACTCACATTGGAATCTCCTCTTTCGCTCATTGTAGTGCGCTGGTTTGGTTGACAATTCCAGATTCGGTGACTTCAATAGGTGACGCTTCTTTCAGTCACTGTTCTTCGTTAATGAACTTGACCCTCTCAAATTCTATCGCGCGCATTCCTTTCTGGGCTTTTTTGGGTTGCAGTTCGTTGAAGACATTGGAGGTTCCAAACTCCGTGACTCACATTGATAGCTATGCTTTTCACGATTGTCCGGTGGAGTCTTTGAAGCGTCCTAATCTGTGACTTTCGGGCGCCGTGCCTTTGAGGGTTCCAGGGCGGCAATTTGGAGAGCCGAGAGCTGAATTGTTCCTGGAAAACAAGCCGCGGGACTATCAGACATGGGGATGACATCATCAAATTCGGATTTCAACATCAAAAATGTTGATTTGACCAACAAGAATGGCTTATGGCGGCTTTGAATGGGGTCTAAAGTGTTTTAACTACGTCTACTGTATAATAACTCTTGATCCACAATTGGGAATGTGTGTGACTTCTGTGGTGAAGACTTGAAATGAATATCCCGGGTTTTGGGATGAACATGGACCAAGAAATTGTTATGACTGTCTGGGTTTAAACCAACAAGCAGGAGGGTAGAATGATGATTTTCCTTAAGGTTCAAACAGCAATAACAATAATTACTGTAGTAATAAAATGTAATAATTAAATATAATAATAACATGTAATAATAACAATAATATTCGCCTTGAATGATACAGTACCATACAGTACCAATGTCGAACAGATACTGAAGTAAATGGTGCACTTCTTTGCCCGAAAAATGCCGAAAAACCCAGTTGTCCAGGCTTTTCTGCCGGTCCCTGCTGCTACCTGTGGAGATGGCAGAGCCATTGGGTCCTAAGGCGCTGCCATTGGGTGAAACAGGCCCTTCATTTAAACATGGGTAGTTAGTCCAATTTGGTCCATGTTTTGGAAGATGAAATCAGAGATTTCCGGGTGACACAAATCTCGGTCTTTAAACCGAGGGTACCATTTGGCAAAATTTTGTTTGACAGAGCTTGGTGAATTCCCTGGCAGTGGCCTGGCAGGTCTTCATTTGGGGAGAGCCTGTACTCCGCAGGCCATCCTGACGTAAGACGGGCTTGCCTCTGAAAATTTGGGAAAACCATGGAAAACCCTCCAAAATCCTATGGTTGATCATCATGTTCGACTCATTTTCCCATGTGTTTCCCTACGAACATTGCGATTTTGGTGTATCCCCACTGCATTTTTTTGGCATTTTTTCTGATGGCTTTTGGAATCGCCTGCGACCGAGGTACTACACCATCTATGACTTGGCCAACAAGAGAATTGGTTTAGCACTGGCTCGACAACCCGTTGGACAGGCCACGGTCGCCGACGTTGAAAACGGAGTCAACCTGCGACCAATCCTGCGACCTTGAAATCTGAAAAATCGCGCCTTCGGTACTCATTACACATCAGAAAAAGATACATCTACTAGTACCAGGCATTTTAAATGAAATGTAACCACAAAGCACACAGGATGACCAACCAGTTCTACGATTTGCCATCTGAGGAGATTCCATCCACCACTTAGCCAACATGGAACCAATGGTTCAACCACTTCTCTCTGCAGGCATCTTCGCCTGCCAGTGTGGGTGCGCCACCTGCAGGTTCCTTGCTGTCAGGCGGGGTCATTTGATGACCTTGTGATAGCTGGATCTGTGGGAAAATGATGGAAAAATGGTAAAATAAATGATGAAAGCATGATAAAAAGGTGGTAAAACCTGGTGAAAACATGAGAAAACTAGGGCACAGGCACAGCAGACTCCAAAGTACTCGATTTCTTAGATTGTTTTTGCTGTTGAAATGGCTTGCATGTCACGCAGTCATGGAGCTTTGAGGTGCCTATTGTGGAACATGCTACCAGAAAATCCTCACCAAATACCCCCTCCAAGTTCTTCTTTCGGACCCAGGCTCGCCATTGTCGGCACCACTCAGCACCGGGAATGCCAGGAATCGGTTCTGTGGATTTGCAAAGTCTTAGGACTTCTCTGCCTTTGTGCCCAACATATTCCAACCATAGGTGAACATCCTAAATCATATGCCTGCAGAGTGGTCACCAATTCCAGATGCCCTGCTACCCCAGCCGTCTCTAAGGGCGCCGTTGACGACAGAGGCCGGGGGCGCAGCATGGCGCAGCTACGCAGCTAGACATGATGCCACTGGAGACCAGTCAACGTCCGTCCTTGAGGTCACCACCTAAGTTCTTGGCATCAAGGAGGCCATGACTGGCCTCGACAGGAGGGATGTCTTGGAATGTCTTGGATGCGGGATAGATCATGTAAACCATTTTGTTGTCAGTGCTTGTTGAGATTGTATTGTTTCAATATGTATCTTTGAGTGCTTATATTTAGGCGGCACCTCCAACCAGAAGCATGAACATGCGCTCCGATTCGAGGTCGAAAACATCTATGAAAAACATGGGGAAGAAAAACATGGTCTACTGATGTCTACTGTAACTGGTTGGTGGTTTGGAACATGTTTTCCATTTTCCCCAATTGGGATGATCCAATCTGAGGAACTTCCAGGTCATCCCAGGCTGCAGCTGTATACATGACAGCCTATAATTAGTATATATTAGTACTATAGCTACTATAGCGCTTAAGCTTTAAAGTCTAATAACATGCCAAAGTCTGTAACATGTCAATGTATGTCAATGTATCTATTCCATTCTATTCCGAATTGTATTCAGCATCCGTCTATCGCCAGCATCCTGTGCCAGTTGTACACGCTCCGCTGCCAATAGCCACATCCTCCAAGAGCGATGCGGACAAATCGAAAGAAAAAAAGCGCTTTGCAAAGGGTCCATTTGCAGGTTGCAGGCTGCAAGTTTTGGAGAAACTTCCACATCTTCAGGAGAGCAAGACTGGTGAATTATCTGACGGAAGTCAATGTAAATATGTTTGCAAAGTTGGGCCCCCCAAATCTACCAAAATAGATAAGCTTTGCATGGACAAAGACAAAGACCATGGCATGGCTTAAATAAAGTATGTAATAGCTGAGTTGGCTTCGTGCTGGTCGATATCGACGTGCCCTTGCAGATCTTGTAGCATTTGGCTTCACAGCATGTTTCCCAGACAAACACGAGGCTAGCGAGGCTTGCAACGCCTGCCCCACCTCCCAGTTCACTTCCCATTGGGAAATGGAGATCCACCAAGATCATCAGAACCGTCAACATCTACAGCTGAAGGCGTTCGCCAAAGGCGGCGCTTAATCAAAAAGCGCCATGGAGGCAGATAGCACTGAGCATTCGGCATGGGATTGCAGCTCAGTGCCTTCCCACGTGGCGCATTTGCTGTCCTATTGGATGAAACATTTGGATAGCGGTGGCAAGGCGAGTTTGATATACGGTGATGGCCGAACGGAAGAACGTGAAGGGGATTAGTGGGGTTTTATGATGATTTATGATGATGTATGATGATGTATGATGGCTTATGATGATTTATGATGATTTATGATTTATGATGATGTATGATGATGTATGATGATGTATGATGATTATGATGATTATGATGATTTATATTGATTTGTGATGATTTACATATGATGATTTATGCTGATTTATGATGAGGTGTGATGATTTATGAATTATGATGATGTATGATGATGTATGATGATGTATGATGGCTTATGATGATGTATGATGATGTATGATGAATCATGATGGTTTGTGATGATTTATGATGATTTATGATGATTTATGCTGATTTATGATGATGATGTGTGATGATTTATGAATTATGATGATTTATGATGTTTCATGATGATTTATGATGATGTATGATGATGTATGATGATGTACGATGAATCATGATGAATCATGATGATTTATGATGATTTATGATGATTTATGATGATTTATGATGAATTTTGATGAATTATGATGATTTATGCTGATTTATGATGATTTATGATGATTCATGATGATTTATGATGATTTATGATGATGTGTGATTGGCGAATGTTGATGACTGATGTGGTGTTTGGAAAACACCTATGTTTTTTTGATCATTTGATTTAAGTCGTGCATCCGGATGATCCGATGCACAGCTAAAGAACTTGCACAGACTGACTATCCAACTGTCCAGGGCAAATGCGACCAGAAAATCCCATGATGACTGAGGTTTGATGATTGAGGAGAATGGTTCTCTTGATTTCGATTGATTTCGCTTGTCCTATTTTGTATCCGGGTTTGTCATCAACCTGTGCATGAGACTGCTAGGCAGATGAGTGTTTGGTGGCGTTGTGCAGCTTGGTAAAAGTGCCCGCAGTTGCTTGCATGCTGCCTGCCCCTCTGACGGACGAGACGAAGAAAGCGTTGGAGAAAATTTCCGATGCTGGTGTCTTGGCTAGAGATGCTGGGTCATAGTTAAAGCTACTCTTAGTATTTATTGGATGGAGCCCTCGGAATTTCTTGCATGTGTCGTTCAATGTCGTTCATCATGCATGGGGTGATTCATGCGCTTTCAACAATTCTTACTACAGCCTGCAGTTGAGAGCTTCGGGTCAAACATAATCAAGAATGGGGTAGCCATGGTAGTTTCCACCCACCACAAAACGGCGCGATCAACGTTCAGCTGATCTTATAGTTGCAGCATGTTGCACCATCCCATTTATGACAGCAGCCCAGTCCTATAGGAATCGAATTGTTGGCTGCGGCAGAAACCGCCTTGTGGGACATGCCCCGGATGCTCTTCGTCTTTCGGCTTCGAGAGGCACGAAAGATTTGGTGCGGATGGGCCATTTATGGCTGCAAAGCATGGGTGTGTCGGTGTGTCTGAGAATGTGGAACATCTCCCCAAATTGATCTAAATGGCCATTTTAATAGGGAGAAATATGATAGATATGATAGTCCATGGAAAATGGTGCTACACTATTTTCAAACAAACCCATCTGGACAAAGAGCCTCTACTTCTTTTTTGCACAGGCAGAACTCGCCAGTCCTGTCTCACAGCTGCAGCATTTGTTGGAGGCTGGAATTGCAAGCGAAGCTTCACCCGCAATGCACTCACCCAGTTAGTATTGTTTTGTTTCAAGTGGCTATACTGGTTTGCTACATTTGCTGTTGTTGTTGTTGTTGCTGTTGTTGTTGTTGCTGCTGTTGCTGTTGCTGTGGCTGTTGTTCTTGTTCTTGTTCTTGTTCTTGTTGTCGTTGTCGTTGTGGTTGCGGTTGTGGTTGTGGTTGCGGTTGCGGTTGTGGTTGTGGGTGTGGTTGTGGTTGTGGTCGTCGTCGTCGTCGTCGTCGTCGTGGTTGTTGTGGTTGTGGTTGTTGTGGTTGTTGTGGTTGTTGTTGTTGTTGTTGCTGTTTGGTTGTTGAGTTGTTGTTGTTGTTGCTGCTGCTGTTGTTGCTGTTGTTGTTGTTGCTGTTGTTGCTGTTGTTGCTGTTGGTGTTTGGATGTGTTTGGATGTGTTTGGATGTGCTGCTTCTGCTGCTTTTGCTGCTTCTGCTGCTTCTGCTGCTGCTGTGTGCGGGTGCTTTTCCGACGTTGAATGACCTAGAGAAGAATCGACAGCTGCTCCTGCCGTCACTATGAAGTGCGCCTATTTTATTTTGATGCACATGCATTTCAAAACGTGATTAATGTTTCGTCCTGATTAGTGTACCGCCCCCCCCAAACAATACCTATACTCTCTTTAAGCTTGGGCGCCAAACATTTTCTTCCCAGGGAAAAAAAACGCACTTAAGTAAGGATTTCAATTGGCTACAATTGAAATCTAATTATTTTTTTTTGCCGATGAACTTGTAGTACGTGTAGTACGTGTAGTACTTGTAGTACTTCTAGTACTTCTAGTACTTCTAGTACTTGTAGTACTTGTAGTGAGTGGGGTTCAGCATGTTGATTGCGTTACCTTTTCCACCTTAAGTTTTTTCCTTAATGAACCATACAATAAGAGAAAGAGAAAGAAAAGAGAAAGGGAACGAGAAAGAAAAGAGAAAGGGAACGAGAGGAAGAGAAAGAGAGGAAGAGGAGGAGGAAGAGAAAGAGAAAGAGGAAGGGAAAGAGGAAGAAAAAGAGAAAGAACAGGTTGCTTTTGTAAAAGGTTTTTCTTTCTTCTCTTGGCTCCAGGATCAGCTCTGGAAAAAGTTTGCTGCAAATGTGAACACTGAGAACAAACCTACTAAAGTGAATTGGACCCTCTCATGGCCAAGTGCCTTGGAAATTTGTGGAAAAACTGTTCTTCAATAAGGGTTTAATAAGTGGTCTGATCCTTTTGGAACAGGGAGAAGAGCAAGATTTTTTCAGAAAAAAATGTTCAGAGTTTTTTACACGCGCATTTTTTTTGACAAAAGAAAATGCCAAAAAAAAACTTGCCACAATGGTGAACCGTCGAAACATTACATGGGTTCAAAATAATTTGGAAAATTCTTGCCACAATAGCGAACCTAGCCACTAATCAGGATACAACATTATTTCACATGTTTCAACTTGTCAAGTTGTTTGGTGTCATCCTGATCTGATTGTGTTCCGTTCAATACGTATGTGAGAAAGCATCACAGTGACATTTGGCGCGCTTGCTTGTAGGAGGGAAATATATTGGTGTATAGTATAGCGGATACTCCAACTTCGGTGGGTATTAAAAACAGAGACACATTTGAAACTCAAAACATGTCCAGCGGGAAGGTTATTTGAATATTCCAATCCATATCATTCCTATACTTCCTTTAGATATGTTCTAATCAGATATTTCCTGCAGCACTATATATTCCAATCATTCCTATATACTGTAGATGAATTCCAATGATAGATATGTCATGATGTGTCAATTTTATAGGTTATAGATGGTGGATGATTTTCCAATACTCGGTATGTCCAATCCAATAATTTCACAACGAAAACTTTCCTTCAGCCCGGCGCAGGAAGTGGCTGAAGCGACGGTGCTCTTCAAGCCATCCGTTGGCCCTTGGCTTTGGCCACTTCATGAGCCCGAAACTTTGATGGGAAAAATAAGTTGCTTCTACATGTTGAAGAAAAATGAATCAAGTAGATACAAGAATTAAGGCGTTCATGATGCTCAATTTAATAAAACCCAGATCTTGTGGTTGAGAAATAGTTTGTGCTGAATAGAACACCAAACATTGATTTGATATTGAAATCCCATTGATAATGTGTACAATATAATAAATATATATATATTGTAACAATCAACTACAAGATTTGATAGGGTGCTATATTAGATCATTAGTGAGTCAAAATAATCCATGTTCAAACACTTAGAGAGTACAATTGCACAACTAAGGATGTGTCAGCAGCTTTGCTCGTGTGCGACGTCACTTTGGCAACACCTCAGGTTGAATGCAGATGCGGGTAATGCGCAAAGCCAAAACAACCATAATTACTCGCAGAGAATCTAGAAAATTTGCATTGCTGGTATTTCGCAATGTACCCTTTGGTAAACAAGCATAGCTAATTATTGAAAATCACCATTTTAAATGGGAAAACTATGGAAAACTCACTATTAATGGGCATTTTCAATAGTTTTTTGTATGTTTACCAGAGGGTAAATCAACCATCCCTCCCCAATTGGGAGGTTTCTGATTCTTATCTACCGCATCATGGTGATGCATCGCGGGGGCTTGAGTGCTCAAGAGAAACCAAGGCTATGGCGGATGATGAGCAGTCACTTGGCTTTGAACTCTGAAGCCCGGTAGAGTTGCATGTCAGGGATTTACTCATCAAACATTGAGAAATATTGAGAATTGAACCAGGAAACATATTGAAAAAAATTGAAAAATGGGATCTGGATATGGGCGAAGTTTGGTGAAGCTGTTGGGCACAGCAAAATCACCAGGAAAATGGCGATCAGATCCTTTTGGAAAGCCTGGGATGGATGGAATTTCCGAAAGGTCCCACACCCAAAGATTCCAACGGTTGAAGCCGAATGTACAAAGATGTACAAAGGATGAATGGAAATAATGGAAACTCAATTGAAGCTACTGCTGATGTTGGATTATATATAGATATGATATGATTAGATATGATTAGGGGATATGTGCTGTCACTTTCACCTGTGTATGTGTTCCGCAGTTGAAACTGAGCTTGGCCAAACTAAGCTGGGCGATGCGAATCATCCGTGGCTTTCGCATTCTTCCACCGGTTCATATGGCGGAACAACAGAAACATATCAGAGAGCAACTGGGCCTTTTCACCGGAAGGGAGGACGTCACATCGAGTGATACCGTTCACGACCAACTTATTGTGGGTTTGCATCCATTCACATCCATCCATCATCAGCTGAAATCAAACATCCTGAATCCATACCCCCATTTTTTGGGTTAAATCACTTCTATTAAGCAATTTGCAAACACAATTGATATCATTCAATGATAATTTGCAGTTTGCAGATCTTTATAGTTTATATATATAGATGTTTATAGCATTAGTTGAACATCTAGAATCTAAGTTTCACTTCTTTCCCAAACTAAGATCAACTATAACCAACAAACAAACCAACTAAGGCAATACAGTGCCTCCACCACCTACGTCTTCGCCTGGAGCGAGATCTACGTCCAGGGCATCTGGGCTCTGCTGATCGTGGCAATCCCCGTGTCCTTGGCGCTCAGTTCTCGGCCCTGGGTGCTGGGCTGGGAGAGCTGGCAGTTCTACCTGCTGCAGGCGGTGTTTTTTGTCGCCACAAGCCATGGGAAGCCTTGGGAACCGGGAACTGTATGATCTGTATGGAACTGTTGGGCAGGTTGATGTTATTTGATGTTTATGTTCATTTGGATGGAAAAAAAGGATAAAAATCATGGGAGAAGCTGAATTTACAGATTTTGAAGGAAATGGGAAGGTTGGCCCCTCGATGTAGGCAAAATGCCCCTCAGTGCTGAATCCAACTTTGCGGCAGTTGGCCCGGGCGATGTTCTTTAAGATCTTTAAATTTACCTCAGCTGCTGAGGTCGACTGGTTTGACGTCATTGCAGCAACATAGGGAAAATCAATGAACATTGATCCTATCAACTAGTGGATTGCAATTGGCTGAAGGCAGTTGAAGGGGAAATCTATAGGAAATCATGGAAATCCGGTGAAATCCGTATATATATATATAATTATATATATACATACATATATTATACTAATATGTGTGTATATATATATATATATATTAGTGATGTATGCAGCTAAAAAGCATGGTGGCATGGTTTCCAGTAATTAACATGTCCCTTCAATCCATTTTTTGATTCCTTTGTTTTTGATACACCCCGGCAGATTTCGGCACGCCGCGACGCCGCGACGCCAGGTCATCATGTTGCTTTGGACCATGGTCATGGCTGCCCTTAGCCGCTCACGGCGAGCGTTTGTCAACGACGGCAGCCTGGGAGCGAAAAGCGAAAGACCCACCGACTTGAAGCATCTGGCCAAAACGTGCCCTGGCAAGTTGACAGGGTTGGGGGGAGACGGTGGGATATGAGCTATGGAAAGTAGCTTGAAATAGCTTGATACCTGGGTTTTTGATGATTTTTGGGGGTGTTTGAACATGTGCTACCCGTATGTACCCACACTATTACATCATTAATTCATCATTGCATATTTATATAATATATATACATAGTACTATATTACTATTACATCATTGTTGTTTGTGTTTCCAATAATAAGGGGCAAAATGCTCATCAACTACTGGTGGGTTTTGAAGTGGACCGGGGAGCACCAGGAGAAGAGCCAAACTAAAGCAGATGTTGGCGGTCACCGGAGCCGGCAATGCATTTGCGGAGGTGGTGAATCTGATCCTGGGCAGCAGGGGTGAGCCTTGCTGGGAAATGGGAGAAGTACGTGTGAAAGACCTGGGACTGCTGCTTTGAAGATGCTATTTGAATATATTTGATAATTTCATACATATACCTGGTATATATTATATGTACATATTTACTTTCAATTAATTTCATATATAGTAGCACAGTATATTCTGATAATTTGTTGATGTTTCTTCGCAAAAAGTTATGCCACTTCAGAAAAGCACTTTCTGTGGCCCAGGAGGCAAAATCCAGATCACTGGCATCAAGAGCACCCAAAGACATGGACAGTGCTGAGTATATTCGTCACAGGCCGACGAACATGGCGATACGCCATGGATGGCACTGTGATTTCATGGCAGTGGCATCAGTGGCATGAAATGGGAACCTAGTGGAGACCATTGCGCCACAATGGTGGAATAACTTGAAAGCACCTTGTAGCAGAGGATGTAATTTACATAAATTTACTTCAAAACGGTATATTTTGGCGATTATCTTAAATAGAATTTCTATGGAATCACTCGAATGACAATTATAGATGTGAATTCAGGTATTTTTTCTATGCTTGGTTGTTTTTATCGAAGAACAGTTAAATATGAATTCTATTAGAACAGTCTCAGCCTGCCCAGTCCTGGCGAGCTCCTTATGCTTGACCATGGCTCTATTTTTTCTGCTGATTGTGATGGAGCTGAAGATGCTCCTGCCCCATGGCATGGTTCAAGCCCTGGTTGCTGATTAGTTCGGGGGTTTACACTACCATTATTTACCATACCAGTACATAGATTGGGGATGATCATATTCCATGGTTCAAATGTCATCATGATACGATTCTCTCCTTGCTGATTTCTGTTTGACAGTGGGGTTTGCATCGATTGATTTGCAGTATCGGTGCAAATTTAGAAGTGTTTACAAGGATCGCGATGGTCTGGTTTGAACACTTGAGTACCGACTCCGAAGTCGCGTTGACTCAGGATCTTCAATTGGGGGGAGTGCTTCGAGCGGGCAACTTTGTCTGAAGTTTTGATTCATTACAATGCCAATTCATTTGTCCTTGGCTTTAAGGCCAAGCTATTGATTTCCATCGAACGTGCCTGCTTGATGTTCCCGTTGTTTGTCGGATGGAGGCTGCTCCCAAAGTATGCCATGTTATGTTTGTCCCACAAGATTCCTTTCCATCCCTTGTTGAATCCCCTACAAGCATTGGCCTGCCAAACATGGTTTGCTGGAAAATCCACCATTTGGTTCGATGATTGTCCCTTTCACGTCGGGCTTCCCCGACTGCCCTGGGCTTTTTTTTTTGCCACGACGCAGGGCTGTATTGGTCCCGAAGAAGTCCATGGCTTCGCGGGCTTCCTTTCCATGGTGGGCACCGACATTTTGTTGGCGCTGTTGATCAATGTGGCCACAGGGGAGTTGTGCAAAGCCTTCGCCTTTCAAATCGCCAAGTTCTGGAATTTCAAGGCATGGACACTGGCGATTAGTTAGGGTCTGGGATGGCTAGTGACCTAGTAACATCTCGTGATGGCCAAGGGCCAAATATCAAGAGATCTCCGAAACCAAGAAAGATTGAGTAGTTGCTGATCAACTTCAGGGTCCATCAGAACCCAGTGGTGGAATAGGATATTGGACTGTGTTGGAATATCAGGTGTTATCAGCCTTGAAGTCAGAGTATGTCAGGTTTGGCACTACAACTCACTACAACTCCAATAGATGTCCCAAGAATGGATAAGAATGGTGTAACAGCAGGCTCTCCGCATTTGCCATCAGCGGCCACTATTGTTTCCGGCCGCATTTATGATATTTCTGTTCATCAAACTTCTAGGTGGAAACAGGGGACGGCCATATCCGGCCATAACTATACGGACACTTGTTTTGATTGTCGTTCCATTTGTTAACTATTGTAATTGGGACGATTTCAGGGAACATCTACAGGAATTCATGAGGGCAACCATGTTGTCCGATCAAAAAAAAAGGGCTTCCAGCTTAAGCTGTCCCACCAATCCGATGGTATTATTGCAATAAATCATACAAGGACTTGTATGGAAACTTGTCTTGACATGGCGGACTTTGATGGAAATACAACAATAAACATCAATAAACCGTTGGAATACCATTAGATCTTGGGGTACCTTTTAAGACAAAACACACATATTTTTCATCATATGGAGGTTTCCTAAGATGGGGCTATCCCCTGTTCATCTTCCATTCTAAATTCGGACTTCCCATGATAAACCATGACAAACCATGACAAACCATCCAGCTATTGGCGCGTTCATGATGTTCATGGGGGTACCATGACCATCATGACCTAATCTTCCGCCAGGACATGCGACATCGTCTCTTTTGCTTCCACATGACGGGCGCCCTCATCGACGGCCTGGCCGCCATCGGGGTCTTCTCGTTTCTGGCCTTCGCCTTTCTGCCGGAATGGGAAAAGACCATCGAGGCCAGCTGGGACGATGCCTCCATGTGTCAGCACTTCTTTGACTACCAGGTGACTTGGATGAAAAGGATGGGGAAATTCTTGGAATCAAGAACTTACATTATGGACTGGAGTTTGCTGACTTACTATAACTTACGGGCTTTGTGGTGGTTTTGTTTTTTTTGTATGAGATCATGTCAAATTGATGGGAGGTACCACTGCTGCCTCCCATTTTTTGGGGCTGGAGCACTGGAGAAATCCCTGGTGATTCTCATCCAATCCCTGGTAATTCAGTGTAAGCTTCTGCTTATTCTACCAGTAGCCAGCTATAGCCAGCTCCCATGCCTGGCACCAACACCAGAAGATGCAGAAATATGTCACTGCCGCAATGCTGCCGTTGCTGAGATATGCCGCGCGATGGCTGGTTGCAGTGTGACAGATGCTTGCTTGAATTTAAGCTCAGAACATAGTCGTCGGGCATATGTGTAGACTCGGTAAACTCCCAAAGAATTTGTATGATGAAATCAACCTCAAATTGGCTCATAGACATTGGCTGTTATCATGTACGCCTTTCAGAAGCATAGCACAGCCAACCATCCACAGCTTGCAATGAATTGCTATCCTTGGGCGTGTCCAAACTCTTTGAACTTGCCTCTGAGCTTCCAAGTGTGCCTCCTACTCCCAGAAATGCTGTTGGTTTTGTGGCAAAATTGACCAAGGATCAAGTTTGTTGCTCCGGCACCCTCTTTTGCGCGCGTGCGAAAGCACCAGTTACACAGCCTGGACCTTGGAAAGCACGGAGGGAACTGACACCATGACGACTCACAGAGCTGGCTGTTGCCAGGCGTCAGAATCTCTTCAATGCCTGGCTTGGTGGTCTCTTTATGGTGGCACCCTTTGTCGATGTGCTCATGCAGTTTGTGGTACCATTGCTGGTGACAGCCTTAGTTGAAAAACAAAACAGTTGGGGTCGCCTGGGCCTCCTTCGGACTGAACACTCTGCAACTGCTAACTGTCCTCATCTGTCCTCCAATCGAACATGTTCTGTTGGAAAACCAAACCACTCAAAAGGATGAACTCAACAGAACGACATCAAACGACCAGTCCGTTTGCTGCATATTGTTTAAAGCCCCCATCCCATCGAGCCCGTTTTTGGAGCCCGGTGCTGGACCCTGCAGCGTCACCGAGACCTATTGGTTCCACTTGAAAGCTGACCGGATCTTGGAGGATGACGAGCGATTGAAGAAGAGGTCCTGCTGCTGCGGATGCCTCTCAGGACTGCGGACAGGATGGAAATGTATGGAAATGCTGATGTGGTCGGGGCCAACATTGAGTAACCAGGAAATCTCATGACCCGGGAGAATTTCTGAGACTCTGAATCAAAGATCTCACCAGAAAAAAAAAACATATAAAAACATCAGAATCAAGGGTTTTAATGGGTTTTATACTTACTGTTTTAAGTGTTCTTGAGGTCAATGCATCCCATTTTTCTTGATGTTGAGAGGCCCAGATGGTGAGCCAGATGGTTCCAGATGATCACGAAATGCTGGGGCTACCGGGATACCAATGAATTGGTTTCTTTGTTTTTAGTGTTCAATCAAATCAATTGCAGTACAGTACATGAAGTCCATGTTTTCATATGTTTTTTCCTATTATCTTTTCCCCTTTCTTCATGGGTTCATCATTGTTTGGTAATATGCTAGAATTGTGTCATTTTGATTGAATTTTAAAGCTACCCAGCATATCTCACCATTGATCATTGATAGATCTCATGGTCAACAGTCAGGACTGGGTCGCCTGTTGGCGTTCATTTTCGTCCTTGATGGAGGCAGCATCGGCAGAAGACTGGGGCTAAGAGTTTTCAGGAATTGGTCGGAAAATGGCCCATGTATTTCGATGTTTTTGCCTATTAGTAATGGTGATACGATGGTGGTTTTCATGCTATGTTGGAGGGGAAATTTTGGGAATGGAGAACTTAATCAATATGTTCCAAACAGGAAGGAACATAAGTAACTAGACAGTATTGAATTAGGTCATTGAAATAGTCAATGGACATCCAGTGATGGGGTTATGAATGGGCAATCGTATTTGTTGCACCTCGACCCGGAGATGTTGTGCTGAGCCGGCTTGATCTGTACATCCAAAGCATGTTACATGAAACTTGCCACTTGTTTGTCAAAAGTGGATGCAGATGGATGAAGATATATACTCCTCTGGAAAATGAGGATTCTCCAATTCTAATTCGATTAATGTTGGTTCCTGATTAGTGTGTGCCCCCCCCCCCCCCCCCCCCCTAAACTATTTCTGGACTCTCTTTAAAGTAGAAAGCAAAAAATTTCTTCCCAAAAGAAAAACATATCCTCGATTAAGTAAGGATTTCAATTGGCTACAATTGAAATCTAATTACTATTGTTTTTTTTGCCGATGAAGTTGTGGTACTTGTAGTACTTGTAGTACTTGTAGTACTTGTAGTACTTGTAGTACTTGTAGTACTTGTAGTACTTGTAGTACTTGTAGTACTTGTAGTACTTGTAGTACTTGTAGTACTTGTAGTACTTGTAGTACTTGTAGTACTTGTAGTACTTGTAGTACTTGTAGTACTTGTAGTACTTGTAGTACTTGTGGTACTTGTAGTACTTGTAGTACTTGTAGTACTTGTAGTACTTGTAGTACTTGTGGTACTTGTGGTACTTGTGGTACTTGTAGTACATGTAGTACATGTAGTACTTGTAGTACTTGTAGTACTTGTAGTACTTGTAGTACTTGTAGTACTTGCAGTACTTGTAGTACTTGTAGTACTTGTAGTACTTGTAGTACTTGTGGAAAAGCTGTTCTTTAATAAGGGTTTAACATCCTTTGGGAAAGGCTTGGAGTTTGAATTTGGCAATTTTGGAACAGGCTTGCTTCCCTTCTGGGCTTCCAGGGGCTGCTCTGGCACAGCTTGCTGCAATAGTGAACCCAGCAAACAAACCTACTAAAGTGAAATGGAGCCTCTCCTGGTCCAGGGCCTTGGAAAATTGTGGAAAAGCTGTTCTTTAATAAGGGTTTAATAAGGGATTGGTTCTTTTGGGAAAGGCTTGGAGTTTGAATTTGGCAATTTTGGAAAGGCTTGCTTCCCTTCTGGGCTTCCAGGGGCTGCTCTGGCACAGCTTGCTGCAATAGTGAACCCAGCAAACAAACCTACTAAAGTGAAATGGAGCCTCTCCTGGCCCAGGGCCTTGGAAAATTGTGGAAAAGCTGTTCTTTAATAAGGGTTTAATAAGGGATTGGTTCTTTTGGGAAAGGCTTGGAGTTTGAATTTGGCAATTGCCTTTGGAAAAGGCTTGCTTCCCTTCTGGGCTTCCAGGGGCTGCTCTGGCACAGCTTGCTGCAATAGTGAACCCAGCAAACAAACCTACTAAAGTGAAATGGAGCCTCTCCTGGTCCAGGGCCTTGGAAAATTGTGGAAAAGCTGTTCTTTAATAAGGGTTTAATAAGGGATTGGTTCTTTTGGGAAAGGCTTGGAGTTTGAATTTGGCAATTGCCTTTGGAAAAGGCTTGCTTCCCTTCTGGGCTTCCAGGGGCTGCTCTGGCACAGCTTGCTGCAATAGTGAACCCAGCAAACAAACCTACTAAAGTGAAATGGAGCCTCTCCTGGTCCAGGGCCTTGGAAAATTGTGGAAAAGCTGTTCTTTAATAAGGGTTTAATAAGGGATTGGTTCTTTTGGGAAAGGCTTGGAGTTTGAATTTGGAAATTTTGGAAAAGGCTTGCTTCCCTTCTGGGTTTCCAGGGGCTGCTCTGGCACAGCTTGCTGCAATAGTGAACCTACCTTGACTGAGCTACAGCGTTTTTGAGAAAAACATGCCTCTCAGCAATTACAGTTTTTTTTGCAAAAAAAAGGGTTCTCCCAATTTTGTTTTGCCACAAAAGCGAACCCTCCAAACAATACATGAGTTTCAGAATAATTTGGAAAAAATTTGCCACAATAGCGACCCTAGGTACTAATCAGGACCCAACATTAGGTCCTCAGCACAATTGCTCTTGCCTCCTTACCTACTTGGAATATCCTTTTCCCTGCCGGCAGGTGTCATGGGCCTACCTTACGTGTGGCGAGGCTATCCCTTCAAAGATCCAAAGATTGAAGTGGAAGCTGACGATGACTATGGAAGAAAGGCCCTAAAGATGTGGCTGGAAGGATCTAGGATGATCTAGGTTTGTCCGAAAATGGATGAAAATGGACGACCCATGGGGACCCCCAAATCAGCTCGGGGCCAAAATTATTTGATTTGAGGCCCACGCTTGAGGTGCCCCCGAGTTTTGGACACCTGCGCTCCAAATAATCTTACTTTCCATACATGTGCCAGATCTCAATGTGACAGCTGCAGTTTTCGAAGTTTGATGAATTCGTTGTGCGAGGCCTTGGGGCCTGTTTGCGCCAATTGCAAGAAAGACATGCATTGGACAAAGTCGCAAGAGCAATGGGAGTGCCGCCACAGCCAAAAGTGCAACTCCACACACCATTCCAAAGGGGAGACCAGATGGCAACTTGGTGGATGTTTATCATTTCACTGAAAAGTTTGGGGGGTGAGACCCAAATGGGGTGAGAAAAAACCCTTTAAAAATATGAGAAAACATGGGAAATTAGGGAAAATAATGGAAGATAATGAAAAATATGACAACATGACAAGGGACATAAAAACATGACAATTTGAGAATTTGACAGTTTGCGAGAACTGTGGCTCAAACTTCTCAGTCAGTGCGCTTGGATGGTATCCAGCACGAGTTTGCAATGTCAAGGGCTCAGGTTCGTACAAAGCCTGTGGGCAGATCCATCACATGTGATTCTCAAAGGAGAATCAGGACAGCAGTGGTCTCCTGTTTCTTGTAGGTCAAAACATCTTCAAATGAACGAGCTTGAAATGGCATGGTCTCACAGAGGGCAAGGTAGGGCAGGGTCTCGCCCATCAAACATCTTCAAATATCTTCAAATGAATTAGAACAGATGGCAGGGTCTCACACATCAAGGAAGGCAGGGTCTCACAGAAAGGCAGGACTTCACAGAAGACAGGGTCTCGCCCATTAAACAAAGGCAGGGTCTCACAGAAGGCAGCACAGAAGGAAGGCCCCTCGCAGAAGGCAAAGCGTCACAGAAGCCAGGATCTCACAGAAGGCAAGGTCTCACAGAGGGCAAGGTCTCACAGAAAGCAAGGCGTGTCACTCATAGCAGGGACTCACACAAGGCATGGTTTCACATCTGAAACAAAGGCCTGGTTTCACAGAACACAAGGTGTCACATGTTGAACTGAGGCCTAACTCTCACAGAAGGAAGGGCCTCGCAGAAGGCAGGGCCTCACAGAATGCAAGGTCTCACAGAAAGCAAAGTCTCACAGAGGGTCCAACATTATGAACAAAGGCAGGGTCTCAGAGAAGGAAGGGTCTCACAGAAGGCAAAGCCTCACAGAAGCCAGGGTCCCACAGAAGGCAAGACCTCACAGAGGGTCTCACAGAAAGGCAGGGCTTCACAGAAGGCAGGGTCTGGCCCACTAAACAAAGGCAGGGTCTCACAGAAGGCAGGTGGCTACAGGCATGCGTATCACATATGACGCAATGCAGGGTCTCACACAATAGACAGGGAAATAAAGGACCTCGCACCTGAAGGTGTTTTCACCCGTGAAATCACACGCTCCCGAACTGTTGCTCTCCTCTACTGCTCCCACACGCGAGCTGCTCTTGCTCACTTTCTGGTTGGCGGCAGAATGACAGGACCGGCCCTGGACACTCTTCCATAACTGAAGCTTAGGATTTTATATTTGGTCTTCGATAGGAGCAAGATACAATCTATAGATATGTAGCACAGTTTTCGATATAAATTAGAACAGATGGCAGGGTCTCACACATCAAGGAAGGCAGGGTCTCACAGAAAGGCAGGGCCTCACAGAAGACAGGGTCTCGCCCATTAAACAAAGGCAGGGTCTCACAGAAGGCAGGGTATCATAAAATAAACTAAGTCAGGGTCTCACAGAAGGAAGGGCCTCACAGAAGGCAAAGCCTCACAGAAGCCAGGGTCCCACAGAAGGCAAGGCCTCACAGAAGCCATGGTCTCACAGAAGGCAAGATCTCACAGAGGGTCTCACAGAAAGGCAGGGCTTCACAGAAGACAGGGTCCCGCCCATTACACAATGGCAGGGTCTCACAGAAGGCAGAGGGTGCCAAGTCTAGTTTGGCTACAGGCATGCGTATCACATATGACGCAATGCAGGGTCTCACACAATAGACAGGGAAATAAAGGACCTCGCACCTGAAGGTGTTTTCACCCGTGAAATCACACGCTCCCGAACTGTTGCTCTCCTCTACTGCTCCCACACGCGAACTGCTCTTGCTCACTTTCTGGTTGGCGGCAGAATGACAGGACCGGCCCTGGACATTCTTCCAAAACTGAAGTTTTAGGGTTTTATATTTGGCCAATGATAGGAGCAAGATACAATCTATAGATATGTAGCTTTCGATATAAATTAGAACAGAAGTCAGGGTCTCACACATCAAGGAAGGCAGGGTCTCACAGAAAGGCAGGGCTTCACAGGAGACAGGGTCTCGCCCATTAAACAAAGGCAGGGTCTCACGGACGGCAGGGTATCATAAAATAAACTAAGTCAGGGTCTCACAGAAGGAAGGGCCTCACAGAAGGCAAAGCCTCACAGAAGCCAGGGTCTCACAGAAGGCAAGGCCTCACAGAAGCCAGGGTCTCACGGAAGGCCAGGTTTAGCAGAGGGCAAAACTTTAGAGAAAGCAAGGTGTGTCACTCATAGCAGGGACTCACACAATAGACAGGGGGAAACAATGGATTCCGCACCTGAAGGTGTTTTCACCCGTGAAATCACACGCTCCCGAACTGTTGCTCTCCTCTACTGCTCCCACACGCGAACTGCTCTTGCTCACTTTCTGGTTGGCGGCAGAATGACAGGACCGGCCCTGGACATTCTTCCATAACTGAAGTTTAGGATTTTATATTTGGTCTATACTAGGAGCAAGGTACAATCTATAGACATGTAGCACATTTTTCGATATAAATTGAACAGACGGCAGGGTCTCACAGAAAGGCAGGGCTTCACAGAAGACAGGGTCTCGCCCCTTAAACAAAGGCAGGGTCTCACAAACGGCAGGGTATCATAAAATAAACCAAGTCAGGGTCTCACAGAAGGCAAAGCCTCACAGAAGCCAGGGCCTCACAGAGGGCAAGGCCTCACAGAAGCCATGGTCTCACAGAAGGCAAAGTCTCACAGAGGGCAAAACTTCACAGAAAGCAAGGTGTGTCACTCACAGCAGGGACTCGCACAAGGCATGGTTTCACACCTGAAACAAAGGCATGGTTTTACAGAACACAAGGTGTCACATGTTGAACTGAGGTCTAACTCTCACAGAAGGCAGGGCCTCACAGAAGGCAAAGCCTCACAGAATGCAAGGTCTCACAGAAAGCAAGGTCTCACAGAGGGTCTAACATTATGAACAAAGGCAAGGTCTCAGAGAAGGCACAGGAGGGAAGGCCTCACAGAAACGCAGGCTCTCACAGACTGCAGGGCCTGACTGAAGGCAAGGCCCAACATGTGAAAGAAGGCTGGGTCTCATAGAAGGCAGGGTCGCACATAGGACAAAAGGCAAAACTTCACATGTGAGAGAAAGCAAGGTCTTACATGTGACGACAGGTAGGGTCTCACATATGGCAGAAGAGGGTCCCGCATATGACAGAAGGCAAGGTCTCACACGCGAAAGAAGGAGGGTCTCGCACATGACACATTGCAAGGTCTCACAGATCTAACAGGGTCTCGCTTATGACAGAAGGCAGGGTCTCACACACGAAAGAAGGAAGGGTCTCACAGATGACAGATTGCAAGTCTCACAGATCTAACAGGATCTCGCAGGACAGAAGCCTAGTAGGTAGGGTCTTTCAGAAGGCAGCGTCTCACAGCAGCTGGAAGGGTCGGAATAGGGCAGATTTCCGACAAACGTTCGACAACATTAACGGGGCGAGGAAAACGCAATTAACGGGGCGAGCAAGACCACCACCCCCTCCTGTCCACCCCCACCCCCTTCCACCCGCTTCCACGCCCCCTTAACACCCTCCCCAACCCCTTCCCTTCTCCCTTAATCCCTCCCACCCCTTCCTCCGACAAACGTTCGACATCATTAACGGGGCGAGGAAAACGCAATTAACGGGGCGAGCAGGACCACCCCCCCTCCTGTCCACCCCCACCCCCTTCCACCTCCTTCCACACCCCCTTAACACCCTCCCCAACCCCTTCCATTCTCCCTTAATCCCTCCCACCCCCTCCTCCGACAAACGTTCGACAACATTAACGGGGCGAGGAAAACGCAATTAACGGGGCGAGCAAGACTTCCCTCCCTCAGCACACCCCCTCCTGTCCACCCCCGCCCCCCCACCCCCTGAGGTAGCTTTTCCCTCTATTAGGGGAGCCCTGGAAACCTAAGTAAACACCTGTGGCAAGCGGAAGCGACTACACTCTTTTTGTACACGCGGAATTGCTGCTAGTCTTGAGCCATGCGGAGTGCGCATGAGAGATATGAATTAAGTATACATGTCAACATGCATGAATGCATTGTGAAGACACGTAAACAAAAATAAATCACAAACAGACACAAATTTTCTTCGTGTCGGAACATGCAAGTCTGTTTCACAGGTAGCGCTCAGCCTGTGATCTGCTGTGAGACGGTCCGAAGACAAAAACAAAACTGTACAGAAGCTACTCTCCGCTGTTGGAAAGCGGTATTTTCTATTGGACGAAAGCGACCGCAAATGCGGAACATTGCAATTTTTTGGGGCTACAAGCCCATAGTGAAATAGTAACCGTAAAAACTCAATTCGTTCCTCCTTCTTAGCTCACCGGTCTGATGAAAGAAAATGGACTGATCCGGTGTCTGCGGGATCATGTCAAGCCACGATCCGTCATATTTCTGGACCCAACGCTGTCTGGGTATCTGGTACCCTGGGACGTATTCTACTTGAGTGGTGTTGGGATTTACTCTGTAGTGCGACGGCTGATCATAGCTGTAATCGTAATTACGAGATACGGAAGAGCTGGAAGCTGTTCCTTGGTTAAGCCATTGTGTACCCGATATTCGGGATGGAGGCGCCGGAGGTTCAGGTACGTTGATCGGCCTTTTTCTGGTCGTTTGCCTCTGCTCAGTCTGTTGAGATCTCTCTCTCCACGGCGGTGGAGTCTTCGGCGGTCCCGGTGGATCAGGAGGCGTTCTTGGCTGCTGTGCACCTAGTGTTCGTCCGGGAGCCGGAACTGGAGGAGCCTTTACAGGCGGCCTAGCACTAGAGGAAGATCCTGATGATGTCGGAGCTGGTGGTTCTTTCAAGGATCTCGGTGCAGCCTTATATTTCACAGGTTCAACTGGTCTGGCCTTTGCTGCTGGACCTCGCACAGGTGCCGGAGGCGGTGCTGGTGTTTCAGCTCTGGGTCGATATGTTCTGGTCCTGCTGATCGATCGACTTCGAGTGCGTCCAACATTTCTGTGAGAGTCAGTCCGCAGCGGCGGAACACTATCTCTCC